TTTCAGTGTCTCCTACTGAGCAAGGGAAGTGATAATAATCTAAGCAGTTGCTTCAGCATGAACTTCGTTAGAAAGGTATCATTAACAATAGGGAAGTCACCTAATTCTTAGTTTATTTAAATATCAGAAGCTTGGGTGTAAAATGCCAAGCTTGATAGTGCTTAAGACCGCTGTAGGATTGCACCGAGGATTTTACCCACTTAACTTTGTTCTCCTTCATGGCAATTCAGCATTTTTGTTTTTTTCTTCTATCTTTTTCTCTATTTTAAGTAAGATTTTCTTAAATACAAACCTGTGACTTGTAACAGTAGATTAGGTCTTTCTGTTTTTAATAAAGCTTTCAGAATTACAGGCTACACTTTGAGTCACCACAAATAGGAGGTAGGAATGTGAATTTTAAAATAGAAAACTCCTCCATCTGAGATCTAAAAAAAAAAAAAACCCACAAAAAAAAAAAAAACCCAGTTAACAGGCTTTGAAATATTGGTCAATCTTTTTGGACAGTGTGAGATGTTAAGAGCATTAATTACTTAACTGCAAAGGTCAGAAAAAAAGAAAAACTAATACCACAGATATATTTAATTTTTCAAATTAGTCTGTATGCTGTACAGCAACTGAGTTGTTAGAACTGTCGTCATGTTTTGGAACCTTATGGGAAATATAGCAAATCAATCTTACTCTGGGAAAAAATGCTGCTTAAACTTAATTCTTCACTGTATTCCAAAGAGGATTTGAGACATTAGGAAGAGCTTTTTGCTCCTTTGAGGATCATTAATTGAACAGAAGGGATATTCCTTCTGTTGCTCTCTTACATATGTAAGAAATGGCTCAACAAATGTTCTCACCAAAGCTCATGAAGTCAGAATGATTAGAGAATCCAGAGGGGGGAAAAATAAACTTCTCTGAGTGTGTATTTAATGCCTGTAGTGAAGAGAAAGTGCTCTTTACATCTGCTCTGTTTTACAGAAAATTTACTATTACAGGATACCTTTTAATCAAATCCATTTGGTACTAAAACTAGACTCCTATTAGTCAGTGGTGTTCAAATATCTGTATGCTGACATAGGAAAGACTACCCACATAATTTCAGACCTTGAAGATGAGAAACACGCATTTGAAAGACAACCTCAGAAATATATTTTGTTTAGTTTTGGTGGACAGCAGAGAAAAAAAGTGATACTAGAGCTCTAAAAGTTTATGTGCTTTTTCTACTTATAGGTTTTGTTATGGATGCCGGAGAGCATTTCTACAATGACAAGATAGTTATAGCAGAAAAACATAGAAGACATCTAAGGTTCTGAGTTCTTAGGACTCATGTTGGTCTCCGGTAGTTTTCTCTAATCCTACTGATTTTATGCTGTTTTAAAATATAAGGGCAGGATGTAGAGTGCGGATGAGTTACACTTATTTGTTTATAACCATACTGGTAGAATGAGGAGCTCTCACATAAGATTTTCTGATCATCACAACAACTTCCTGACCATATTTGTATAGGAGGTAATAAAATATTTGGATGTCATGTGAACCGATTACTCATTTTATAAGAAAACTTTAATAGAACCAGTAACGCAAATAAATAAGGTAGACTTGTGGTGCTGTAATTTTTTTTCCCTTGGTAATTAGCTACACAACATTATTTTCCTCTGTCACTACGTGAACCAACATCTAAAGCAAGCTCTGTCTTTTCGCAGTAGCACCTTCATTCTCATTCAGGATAAATGAAGCAACTCAATTCTAAATGCCGCAATCATACATTTTCCCAATACATTTTTAAGGTATTGTCTTAAGGTGTAATATAGATTTTTAGTATTCTTTCCAAGGAACTCTATAATTTGGTTTGGAGAAGTGTAGATACAAAGAAGTTGATGGCTTTTTAGTATCCAATTTTCGAGTTTCTTGGATTTTGATTTTTTTTTTAACCTAAATCAGAATGCAGAAATTCAGATTTCCTTCCAACTGTTCTTTTTTTCCTCCTTACTGTCATTCCATTCTTCCCTATCTTGAAGTGCAAAATACATATTAAATACAAGTATTACCTCAATGAGTTTTAATCCGTTGTTTTTTTTTCTCTGCGCAGTCCCTTCAGCCTGAATATGTTCAGTACTAAAGCTCTGCTGCTTTGGTGAAACCTGCTGAGTTCTTACCATAGAAGTCCTTCATGAAGAAGAATTTAAGGAAAGAAGCTGCTCATTCCGTTGAGGAGTTTTCAATAAAAGTTGTATTAAAACCATAACACCAAGGAACAACTTCTCAACAGACAGAAATTTCTTGTTCATGACTACTGCAAATGCACTGAAGTTGTTTTATGGAAATTATTCCTCCATGTTATATACAGATTTAAATTTTTAATGTTGAAACTACTTGAATATATTTCTAATTAATTTCATTATGACATTTATTAACTTGTGTACAGTCTTAAAATGTATTAAGAGAATATTTTATTAAGCAATATATATAAGAATTATGTAAAAACTAGAATGTTTTAATTTAGTTGTTCACTTTGTTACCAAAATGTGTATTTTAAAGAATTTTTACACGTTTATCAAAGATACTATTTTTTTAATGAACAAGAGGCTTTTCTTGTTTTATGGGTCCATTATTGCTTAAAGGCTAATGTAATTACCTCTTTTGCTGATTGGTCTTCTGATAACTTAATGGAAGTCTAATTAATGAGAGACTAGTTATTATGCTATCAACTGAAAGCACTTGAGTACATAGTCTGCTTTCCACATTCAGCTGCTGATGTTTGACTGGGAAATGCTATGAAAGAAAAATGAGTTACATTGCAACTTAGATCTTCCATTGCAAATAAAAAGTAACTTAGCTGATGATTCAGTTAATATTTTTTCATTTTACTTTAAAGAAATGTTTTAACTTTTAGAAGTAGAATGTTAAATTTTGCTATGCAATGTCTACTGCAAAAATGCAGGCAGACAAAGCATACTGACAAAGTAAGAATGTCTGAATTTGGCTGTGCTGCACACTTGCATTTTGCAAGTTTCAGTAGCAAAGCATACTGAAGTAAATGTTCGGAAGTATACTGAATTCTCACTTACCGACTGGATGTTCCATAAACCTTTTAATTTGGAAACTATTATCAGATATATAGGTAGTTTAAGCTGCTGTCACACAATAGTTTTGTTAGCAGTAAGGATATTCTTTAATACGTAAGCTGGTGCAATTAGGAATGAATCTTTGAAAGAAGTGATCTTACAGTGAAGTATTAGAGATCATGTGTAAGTTTTTCAGAATTCCATAAATGCAATCACAGCAAAAATAAAAATAAATAGCATCTGTGAAAACTTTAGAAGACAAACACAAAACGTATTTGTTAACCATGAGTTTTTCCTAAATCTACAGGAACGTGAAAATAGAACTCGTTGACTTGTCAGTCTTGTTTCTGAAGACTTGTGAGTGATCTGTGTTTGCCCTGCAACTGAAGTTGCCACCAAACTGCTACATAGTTATACTGAAAGTGTTAATAAGTAATACTGAAAGCAGCTATATAAATCACTGAATAAAACTTATATGCAATACTGTACTTTTCCACAATTGTGTATATGTAAAATATACACACACTAAGTAGCATATGTGTGTGCATATATATATATACAACATACTATATATGAATTATAGACTGATGGTAAGGTAATTCTACCTCTTACGGAAAAAAATGTCATGTGCTTTGTTATAAATTTCCTTATTAAAAAAATTGTTTCATTTTGGAATGTAGATATGTACATGTATACAGCTAATTGATAATAATAAAATGCATATATCAACCAGCTTCCTTGTTGTCTTAATTAACCTTCATTGGAAAAGAAATGAGTATGAGAGGTATCTTCTACAACTGATCTTTCTAGTTAATATTCCTGTGTTTGTTTAGAAGTCTCAAGTATTTGTGACATTTCTAATTACCATATTTTAAAATGTATCTTAATTGAGGAAACTTTTTTTTCCTGGACAAGGATCCTTGGTACAAGTGTAGTATAACTTGTGTTTTTTTTTGGTTTTTTTTCCGTGTGCAGTAGTTTGATTTAGCCTCACTAACAGTAGGGTCTTTATACACAAGAACACAAACAACCACATTTTCATTTAGCTGCTGCTTCTTGTGCTGGTGAAAAAAAATTGTCACAAATGGTTTTATCTTAGCTTAACTCTGTTGATGATTTTCAGCAAATTTGTTGTGTTGCATGATAAATTATCCATGGTGCTTAATATTCCTGTCAGGTAAGCCTGCAATTGAAGATGTGGATAGTGTGTGACTGTTGCACAGCAACTCTAAAGGAATGGCAAACTCGAGTAGAACACATGCTTTAGAAGCTGCCCAAATTCTAGTGAATGTTTATTCCAATAACACAACAAAAGGTTCTTGTCACTACAATGAAGCAATTAAAGGATGTTGATTTGGATATGTATAGGATATACAAAAGAGCAGCCAATTTAAACATGTCTAGTACGCTGAAAGCAATCCCTCCCCCATTTTTTCTTTAATTCTATTGATTTACTATATGATAGACAGCCAATGGACATCTTGTGTTCTTAAAAAATGCATAATGATATAGCCAGTACCCTAGCAGTCAACAAGACCAAGATAAGCTGGGGACAGCTACTGGTTTTAGGAGTCTTTACAATACAATCTTTCAGCTTTTAAGAAATACCTTGAATTTTATTTTATATGCTCTGTTCACTCACCCTTGAATTTCACCGCTTCCATTGTTTCATATATAAATGCATCTTCTTGTTCTGGGAGAAAAAGTACATGAGATCTTTAAAAGGAGATTTGAAAAACACGTAAGGATGGATTAAATAAACCTAGAGGTCTTTACTGGGCTTGTGATTCTGTGGATAACACCTTATGGAACTGTTTCTTTATGCTTTGTGAAGCTTTTTGGTTAGTGAGATATTTCTTCTTACAGATTTAAAGAATATTTTTCAATTACAGTACTGCAGAAAGAGGAGGATTTCAGTTTCTATAATAACTGTTCTCTACTGACAGCTAAACAATGAAAGGCCTCAAAAGGTTTGACATTTGATTAGATCTACATAAAGCGCAGCAGGCAAAAAATATGGTAATCAGGGGCCTGATCAAGTACATTGCTCAGGTATGTCTTTAACCTTAAGCACATGAGCAATCTAGATAATTAAAAAAGAACAGATACACATGTTTGTAATGTATCCATATTTGGATCAACAGTCCTATTAACAGGACTCTTACAAACAGGAATCTTTCATTAAATAAAAGATATGCTACACTGTAACAAAATAATCCACTGACCCATGCTATAATTGACCTCCTAACGTAGTGTTTTGGTATTGTCATTTATGGCATTATGAGTTTAACAGTATCTAAAAATATCTTATGATATCTTGGTCAGTATACAGATAATACATTATCAGCTGAAGTAATTACTTTTCCAGCCTTAGAAAAGCAGCTTCTCACTTAAACTCGCTGCAAAATTAATCAGCATTCCTGTTCTGAAATGCTTTTAAGAAGAAATCTCAACTGTTTTACTCAAGTTTCTTATTAAACCCTGCTGAGGTTAAGGACAGTTAATGTTTGAGCAAAGCGCTGAAGAGTACCTGTGAGAATCCCAGCACTAATTCTCCATCCTGAAAGTCAGAGCCAAGCCTTGCTTTCCAACCAGCCTTCAGGCTGTGGGAGCATTTCATTCAGTTCTGAGGGAAGGTGCTTTTGGAATTCATTTGGGTGTGTGCCACTGTTTCAAAGTCTGTGCTGGTTCCACTAGGTACCTGTGTACCTAGAGACACCAACACTCACCTCCAGCAGGTTAGTGATGCAGGATGTCCCACTAGATAAGACAGACTGAGCCCTCTTTGAAGGATGCGGAGTTTGAGGAGAGTCTTCCCAAAATAAAGTGCTGTCTTACCAAGAATCTGTGCATCCATAATGTTTGAAAGATTTAATTTGGAAGCTATGTTCTTAAAAGAGCAGTTCTAAAAATGTTTACGGAAAGACAGTATGCTTTTGCTTAACAAAAATACAATCAGAATAAAACAGCTTCAGTATCTAGCAGAGAAGTCGCTACAGTAAATGTGCTGTATTTCAGACAGAAGTGACTGACACTAGTTTGAAAGCTTGCTGAAAAATGAAAGTCGTTGTGTAAATGGGTGAGAAGAAGGAAACCGGTACAGCAACGAGAAGAGAGTCAGACTCTGTAGTTCCAGTATTTCTGGAGCGCGATTGGGTCTGTTTTTTTTTTTTTCTTCTTGATTTAACAAGATGAAAATCTGCTGAATAATTCATGAAGAGTGGAAGGGCTGAATCTTCCTGGAATGATATACAGAGTACGTACTGTGTCACAGGAGGAACTGCAAAGCTTTGTATCAGTTGCTGCTGTTTCTGCTACTGATTGCAAGGTGCTGCCGCTTTTGGCATTTTCACAGCTACAGAATCCTCAGCCGCGCTCTGGTCTGCTTACAGCCATCTGCACCTTATGGACCCACCTTCACTAGCTCCAGCCTCTGGGATTTCCTGCCACCTATCTGCCTTGGACACCGCTCTTCTCCGGGTCATTACTGCTAACTACATTTTCTGGACTTGCAGCTCATATGACTGAAATCTGCCTCGAGTTCCCCGCCCGCACATCCTCTCTCGTATTCAGCGGGGGGCTGCCACAGCAGGATCTGACCTGGATGAAGATGGGATTTACGGGGAGAAGTCAGAACTGAGCTGCACTCAGCGCGATGCCCAACGCCTCTTCCTGGAGCGCGAGCTCGCCCCTGCTGCTGCTCTGGGAGGACTCCTCAGGGACCCGCATCTTCCTCTCGCTGCTCTATGCGGTCCTGGCTATCTCAGGGACTCTGTCCAACGTGATGGTCATCTATTTGGTTTTCTCCTTCAAGAAGCTGCAGACCACCAGCAACGCCTTCATCGTGAACGGCTGCGCGGCCGACCTGAGCGTGTGCGCCCTGTGGATGCCCCAGGAGGCCGTGCTGGGGCTGCTGCCCCCGAACTCCTCCTCGCTCCGCTCGGCCGAGTACCGCCTGCTGCGCGAGGGGCTGCTGGGCCTCGGCCTCACCGTGTCCCTGGCCTCGCACCTGCTGGTGGCCTTCAACAGGTACGTGCTCATCACCAAGCTGCCCAGCGTCTACCAGGCCCTGTACCAGCGGAGGCACACGGGCTGCATGATCGGGCTCTCCTGGGCGCTGGCGCTGCTGCTGCTGCCGCTGCTGCCCGGGCTCTGGACGCCGGGCCCGGCCCCGCCGCCGCCCCCGCGGCAGACGGACGGCGGCTCCCGCTACCCCGCGCTGCTCCTCGCGCTGGCCGTGCTGGGCCAGACGGCGCTGCTGCTGCACTGCTACCTGGGCATCGTGCGGCGGGTGCGGGGCAGCGCCAAGCGGGTCAGCGTCCTCAACTTCCACCTGCTGCACCAGCTGCCCTTCCCCGCCGCGCCGCCGCCGCCGCGCCGCGCCCAGCGCCGCCTCAGCAGCGTCTCCGTGCTGCTGCTCTGCTGCGTCTTCCTGCTGGGCACGCAGCCCCTGGTCTGGGTCAGCCTCCTCGGCTTCTTCCTGCGGCCCGCGCCGCCCGCGCTGCAGGCCGCCAGCTGGCTGCTGCTCTGCTCGCTCTCTGCCCTCAACCCGCTGCTCTACACCTGGCGCAGCGAGGAGTTCCGCCGGGCCGCGCGCTCCGTCCTGCCCCGCGCCGACGGCTCCTCCGCCGCCCCGCGACACGCCGCCGGTCACGCCGCCGGAGCCGGAGCCGGAGCCGCCGCCCCGCCCTGCCCGCAGCTGCCGCGGCGCCGGAGTACGGCGGGCAGCGCCGCGCCGCGCTGAGCGGTTCGCGGGGCCCGGCCGAGGGCTCCTCGCCCCGCCGCCAGGGGGCGCCCGCGGGCACGCGCCGCGCTGGGCGGGAGCTCGCGGCCGCCGCGTGCCCTCGAGGCGTTTCCCGCCGCTCGGCTTCGCGCGCCGCGGTTCTCCTCGGCCTCCGCGCTCCACAGCCGCTCCCGGCAGCGCCTCGCGTTTGCGAGGCTCCCGTCGCTCCTTCCTGGTTTGCGGGCCTCTTCCCCATCCCTCTGCTGCTCCCAGGCCGGGCGGCCCGGGGCTCTGACGGCCTCGCTAAGGGAAGGGCAGCGGGCAGCGGGCTGAGCCGAGGCCGTGCCGAGGCCGCCTGCCCTCCTTGCCCCCGCCTCAGCACGGCCCGCAGGAGGCCAGCCGGGCTCCAGCCAGCAGCAGCGCGGGCAGAAATCTGCGATGCCGGTTAACTACGGCAGTGTGAGGTACTGCATTTCTGCTTTAACGGTTCCAGCGTGAGGCAGGCACCTGGGCTCTGAGACGTGCTGCAAGCTTTTGTTTTTTATTATAAAGTTCTGTCGGCATTTGAAGGAGTGATTTGAGCGAGTGCCGAGCGCGGGACTCACTGTGGGCACTGCTGGGGGTCCCCTCCCCTTCTCCGCCTCGAGTCCCTTCAGAGCCATTTCCTGTACCCTACTTCATCTCTGTGCTCCGTGCAGGACCCTCCTTGTCCCAGCTAAACTTTCAGGTGATGCTATCTGTGGAAAATGTTAAAAACAGACATCTTTTTAGTTTTCTGGTTTGGGTTTGGTTTGGTTTTATTTTTAAACGCTCCTTACTTTGACGAAGGCCTCTGCCTGTGGTACTGCGCTCTGCAGAGCGTCTGGCAGTGTGGAGATGAGTGCTGCCCCCTGAACTTACATGTCTGCTACCAGCTTGTGTTTCTATTACATGCACTGCGGTTACAGTGGGATTTCACAGCTTCTGCTAAATATAAACATTGCGTCCTACCGGGGCGGTGAGAGGTGTGGGGCTGCCCTGAGTGCTGTCCTCCCCCTTCCTGCCTCTGTGCTGACGATGTTCTCGTGCTGTTCATACCTGGCACTCTTTGCCTTTTGCATGAAAGACTTGAAGAGGGCAGTTCTGTTCTGAATGCATGGGCACTGCTCTTTAAAGCAATCATGGTGCTGCCTAGGGAAGGTGAATGGACGTGGGAGCACAGCAAAGTTCTGGGCAAAAAGTTTGTTATGTTGGGTGGCAAGTATTAATATGAGTTTGGCAGCTCTTTCAAGAATGTTTGAATACTAAGACTATAAAGAAGAAACAAATACAGCAGGTATAGCATAGCGTGGCCATGTTTTATAGTGCTCCACACTAGAATTATCTTACCTGATGTGGCTTAATTTTCAATAGAAGTTGCTTTTGAAGGAAGGAAAGAATTTCATTTTTTTTCCCCAACCCTTAGACGTGTTAGTATTCTATGATATGTTGATGTATTTAAAAATCTTTATACGAATGTTTTATTTTTCTAAAGTAAAAGATGTTGCCGTTATCACAGAAAAGATTCTTGAGGTTGGGGTTTGACAAAGACAGGATGTAAAGTCTTAAGGAAAATTTAGGAAACATTCCTTGTCTTCCTGAAAATGCATCCACATCTTGAAAGCAGCTTCAGCCACTTACAAGCACCTGTAGAAAAGTAACAGAAGTTTCCTGAACACCAACTTGTACGACCTGGTGTAGGGAACCTGCTTTGGCAGGGGGGTTGGACTCGATGATCTCTGGAGGTCCCTTCCAACCCCTACGATTCTGTGATTCCTAGAATCTGAGGCTTTGAGAGTTTCTTCCCCCTACTTGGAGACAAAATGCCACCTGCGTGAGAGCTTCGGAAAGATCACAGGGGCTGGCAAGGAAACATGGCCATGAAAGATGTACAAGATTTATCTTATCACCAGAGTGCATCTGTCTTGGAGAGTACTATATCCTTATTGTAATCTCACATCCTAATCACAGGGACTGCTTTTGCGAGCTTTGTGCAGCAAATGGATAAGGAGAATTTGCCAACCACACCTATACCACTTCTGGAAAATATTCGGTATCACTGCCAAAATAAAGCTAAGCCAAGGGCCACCTGGGGCTAAGACCTGGTTCTGCTACAAGGAGTTCTTATGTCATGGAACCCATGACAGGAGGAGAATCACCACTTCCCAGCACAGCTGAAGGAACTGAAGGCAGTTGGCAAAGCTCAGTACTGGGACTATCAGCTAAGAACAAACATTAAAATAATGAATTAGCAAACATCCTCTGTGTTTTTGACTATTTAGTCTGGGATAAAAGCAATAACCTGTTTTGGAATTCAGTGGCCAAGCGTTATAACAAACTTCTGGGTTTTTTCCCGTATCAAATAGCATGCAAATTTAATTTGAGATGCCTGTGTTTTATATAGACAGTGTTCTAAATGCAAGTATGTATTAAAAAATGCCATCATGTACAAAACTTTGTTCAGCTATCCTCTTGCTATGCATTACTTCCAGAGAAAGCTGGAAATCCCTTTGGAAGTTTGATGTAATTACATCTGACTGTGAATCGTTGACTGTTTTATTACACTCAGGTGACCTAAATAGTATTACACAGAAAAGAGTTTTAATTTAAAGTAATCAAAAAAGAGTAATTATCTCAAATTAAGATCTCAGTTTCTCTGAGAAATTACTGCTCAGAAAAGTCTTGTATGCCTTCTTCTACAGCCATAATCTTTGTATTTCAGCATTTTAAATACAGTAACAATGGAAGCTTGGCTTAACTCATCTTCTCTTGGCTCTGTTACTGCTTCTTCACTGAGACAATTGATCTGACTCAGTTTTTGGTATTTGCTTTACTTTTTTCAGCTAATTCAAGGGTATCTATTGCTAGTAACTTTTCTTTAGTATGAATTTCTGTCATATTCACACAGCTAATGTACAGGTGCCAGGGGTACATTGCCAACTGTCCTTTAAATTTGCAGGTACAAGGCACATTTGTACTTCTAAAAATTTTCCTTCAAAATTGTTCAATCAACCGATCTTTCAAAAGATGTAAGGGAAGATGGTGGGAAATCCTATTGGCAAGTCAAATGAAGTTCTCCTTTGCTCTGACGTTGTGCCAAGCAAGGTGAATGAGGCCTAAAGCTTCCCATGCTACAATGACTGCTCAGCTTCACAAATATCAGGCATTGGATGTAATTTTGTCCAAATGTTGAATTTATGGTGTTGTAGTGCAGATCTGTTGCACTCTTTGTGTGCAGTTGGTGCCTATTCCTTTGCTATTTTCTCAGGGCTTCTGGAAACAAGAGCAGCTAACAGTAACACCTGGATAGGCTGTGACCAGTTGTATTGGTCTGGTTTGAAGCAGTCATTTAGTTTTGTGGCCTTTGTAAATTAGCCTGTGATATAGTCACATGTTTTGTGATTTGCCTGTGCAGCCTCTCAATGGAACCAGTTCTTTGGGGGCAAAATTGTGATGCCTCAGAACAATACCGTAAGGCAGAAATACAGCCATTTGTGAAAAAGCTTGCAGAGGCTGTTGGTGAAGTTATTATATTTGTGATAGTTGTAAAAAGCCGTTGAGTTCTGTTCAATAATATGAGCTTCCACCAGAGCTGGGCACTTGCTGCCATAAACAAAGGAGCAGTAAAAATGCACAAGCAGCAAAGTGAGGCTGGAACAAGTGGGCGGGAGGAGATAAAGATGGCAGGACAGGATCAGTGACAGTGATCCTGAGAAACAGTACAGAAGTAAGTCTGAAAGCTGAAAGAGGGCAGGGTTTATGATAAAATAAACCCTCAGATTGTTTGTCTCCTTCTTTGGGTGTGGAAACAGGATTCTACACTTCCTTAATAGGTGAGATGCACAACTGTATTCTCAACTTTTTCTTTTCGTAAAGTATCCCACACACCAGCAAATTTTCATTGATTTCTGGAATCAAAAGAGACTAACAGTGTGAATTACACCAGTGTTCTTATGGACCAGCCTTCTTATGCTTAGCGGTGTTGCTGGACATCTAGGCAAGAATAAGATCTTAGCAACCCCCGTATTCAGTCAGCCATAAGCACACTGTGAACCTTTTTTCCTGACTACCAGATTGATGCTATTTTTAAAAAAAAAACCCACATACAGATTATTTTCAAATGAAGACATTCAAGTGTAGCATTTCATTAAAGAAAAAGTGACAACATATACTTTAGCTTTCTATTTCATCTTAAATCGCATAACTAGATTATTGCAGTATTCTTTAAACTCAGAAGTCCCTTTTCCAAATGGCAGCGAAAATAGCTTTTCTCGTGACTTCTAAGAAAGCTACCTTTTTTGCTCTTTTATGTCAATCCTTCCCATGCACTGTCATCATTTTACCAAGCTAATAGTCCCTTTTCTTTCTTTCTTTTCTGCTTTCTTCAGGGTTTTTTCTGTAGGTTCCTTCACTAAGGGAAAAGTTCTCAGTCCTGCTGGGCAGGGATTGACTCCTTGAGCAGTGTAAGCTTAGGGAGACAAATGTAAGATAAACCTGAGGAACTGAGGGGCAAGTCCCTCAGACTTAAGTTTCTACCCAAGTCTGAGTAGCCGTTGAAGATTTTTTTTTTCATTCGGTTCCATAGTGGACAAACACTGTCTATACTACAAGTATTCATGTTTGATTAAAGCTGATTAAAAAAAAAAAAGTTTACATAGAAAAAAAGTTAGAGATAGTTTGAAGGCTGGAGAAACACTTTGTAGTTGGTGTTCATTATGGCTGACTTTTCTATACCGAGGTCTCTTTAGAATACATGCTTCTGTGCAAGTATTCAAACCAATCTGTTGCCACACAAGATAATCTAATGGGTTCTTGAAACTAGAAAACATGTAATTAAAGGTAAATGACTCTGTTTTGTGAGCGTGGACCACCTTGTTTGATTACTGGCTATGAGATCAGTATGGGAAGGCTTCCAGTGCAGTCTTTGCCCAGCGCCTGCTCCAGCCAGGTATTCAGGTTATTCCTGAAACTAAAGAACTGGAAACAGAATACTGCTGAATCAA